TTGTTGCAGACGTGTCCAATCCTTGATGAGAGCCTTGCGTGGGCACCCCGATCAGCATGCTCAACCAGGCGTTTGGGACCCGGCGCCAGGGGTTTGAGGCCCGGGCGCTCACGGGCCTGGGGCTTGGGCCACCAAGCGCCATTTATGCGAACAGAAGTCGCGACGGCTAAAACCAAAACGTAAACTTTGTTCTGACGCGACAAGGTTGGTTTAGGGGATATATGATCATCATGTGCTTTGGTCCCTTTGGGACAAGATATGGGTTGTCCTCGGCATATGCTGCAAAGCAGAATTTTCCAGAAAACAGCGACACCATCTGCAATCCTTCATTACCATAGGAGCCATAGACAAGCGCAGCCCAAAACCCTAAGCACTCACGTCCTTAACCCCTAAACCCTTAACCCCTAAACTAGTTGGGTCTTCTTTAGTACGTAGTTGTTGGTGCTTAGGCGTTCTAACTTCGCGGGAATCAGGGAGGGCACTTCAAGTTTGAGGTTTGGGGCTTTCCAAATTCAGGTACCCCTGAAGTAGGGGCTATGTAGGGGGAAATGAGCGGGTTACAGGGAGGTTATATAGGGATCATGGAAAAGAAAATGGAAACTACGAATAAGGGTTTCAAGGTTTAGGGATTTAGGGGCGGATGATTTTCCTCTGAAAATACTCTAGGTGGAGGTATGAAGACACGGCGGGTAGTAGGTAGGGAGTAAGCTTTGCACGGAAGGTGTTTCCGGACCTTCAAACTTGTTGTCGCGGTTCAGAAGTTAGTGACCGTCTATACATCAGAGTCCAGAACTTAGCGATGGTGAAGAAGCTCTTTTATAGCTTAAGAGGACCCCCAACCCTGTAATAGTGACTATAAGGGATAGTAGTAACGATATTAGGGTCCTCTTATAATCCTATTATACCACTATTACAGGGTGGGGGGTCCTCCTAAGTTATAGTTGAGGTGGACGCTTCGGGCGACTGCCGCTCAGCCATGGGAGGCTCATCAGCGCAGCACGAGTCAGCAAAGGCTGCTCTCCCAAACCATGCAGGATGGCTAATCAGGGCTTCTTTTGTTGTGCTACCAGACGCAATGTCAAGATCGAGAGTTTGCCAGATGAGCCTGAAGAGGGCTACAGGCTTTTATGCATCAAGAAGACATTCAACCCAAAACCTGTTTAGGGTTGCCATCTTAGGTTTTAGGGCTGAGGGTTTTGCATATTAAAAAATGCATCAACCCTCAACACTAGGCCCAAAACACGCAACCCCCAGTCTCTAAACCCTGGAGTCTGTAATCATCAGATCTGAGACTCTTGTGGGTTCTCTTGGGAGATCAGCTGACTGGTGTCTTGACATATATATGAACACACACTTTCGGGTTGAGGTGTAACATCTTTTAAGCGAGATTCACGCAGCCCAAGCCCCGTCCTTAGCCGAGATGTCCGCCTGCATGGGCGTGGGGTGTTGGGTTGGGGTCTCGGGGTTTTAGAGTCTAGTTTAAAGGCACGGGGTACCGTGAAAACATGTCTGGCTTCAAGCTGAATCAAAGTCAACAGCATGGTGATTGAGCTCCAGATGTTGTTACATGAGCCACATAGCAATATGGTTTTGGTGGGCAAAATGAGAACCGCAGAGATAGTAAGAAGGTGCATCTCCAAAATGCCAAACATGTGATGGGGACCCTGGCCACCAAGAGCAACCCTTCTTTCTGATCATATAAAAAAGCAGAATAGGAGTACACTTTCGGCCGTAATCTACTTGGTTGACGAACAGGGGACATAGCAAACCCAATGATGCTCCTGGCACAATCACGAATGCTGTCAGCACCAGTCCATAACACTCGGCGGACTACAAACCACCGCCGCTGTTGCTGCAGCAAGAGCAGCAACAGCAGAAGCATCAGCATGGTCATTTGGGCCAACATTCTCATCGTCGTCAACATCAAAATTATGCCGCCATCTTTTTTTTGCACACCCATGTTTAGCGTGGCTGCGTAGCCGTTGTCTATTACGATTGCTGCGGCCCTCCGTAAACTTTGTGTAACCCTGTAAAGCCTGATCCTCAACCCTAGACCTCCGATACCCTTTGGTACTGCCCCATATAACAGTATTATGCAGGAAGTATAACATTACTCATATTGCAAGATGTGGATACTGTCATAGGCTGCAGGCAGAATCCACCCTAAACCCTACACCACAACCTAGCTGTACAATCGGCCCTAGACCCTCATAGGATAGTAGTTTCACAGGGGGCCCCAAAAAGGAAGCCTAAATCCTAAACCCCTAAACCCTAAATCCTGCACCCCTAAACCTAAACCCTAAACATTCAATCAAAGGGGAATCTAAGGGAACCCAGCCCACAAGTTGAAGGCGGCGGTTGGAAACTCATTGCGGGTCACGTGCAGTATCCAACCCAAACCCCAAGCCTAGTCTGGGTTGCTGTTAAAGAACTTAAATTAAGTTATCATAATGGGTAGATATAGTGATTAACATGGTATCCCCAACAGAGTAACTTAAACTCAGTTCCCTAACAGCAACTCAGTATTTCGCAAGTCTTCCGTTCTTCGGCCACTCCGGTATGTAGGGTTTAGGTTTCAGGGCGAGCCCTCCCCCCACTTTCCCACCCCGCCTTGCTTTGGAATCAGGGATAATGGAAAAGAAAATGGAAACTACTGCTTAGAGTTTAGGGTCTGTAGAGCAAGTACATTAGTGCGCCTGAACCTCTAAACTCCACATCCTAAACCCTGACCCTCAGTTATGCCCATGTACAACAGGAGATTTTACATAGCCCTTGAAACAGGCCCCTAGGTAGCCCCAAAGTCCCTGACCCTAAACGCTCAATCCCGGAGCTCCAAACCAAAAGCCTCCTTTTGCATAACGCCGTTTTTGGGATTGAGGGCTCCTACATACCACTATTAGGGTTTAGGGTTTAGGGCTCCTACATACTTCTACTAGGGTTTAGGGTTTCCCTGCGGACCCCCATAATGCCCTCTATAAACCCTTATCAGCAAACCCAGCTGAACCCATAATCCTAAACCCTGGAACCCACATCCCTGCCTACTGTTGATATAAACAACCCTACTTGCCTGACCTGTGATCACATAACATCCCATTTTTCCAAAGGCTTAGGGTGCTTAGGGTCACAGAGTTCTCATATTAAACCCTACAACCTCCTTGAAAAGGCTCTTACCCCAGCCGCCCCCCTAAACCTTAAACTCTAAACTTTAGGGTTCAGGGTTCAGACCCCCCAAGCCTCGCTGTATTTCGCCAGAAGCGGCGGGGTCCGCTCGGCGGCGTTGAGCTCCAGCGCTGCGTTGATGAGGCAAGAGAAGGTGACCTATTCAAGTTC